ACTATGACCCAGGATTTTTCATAACAACAAGTCATTAGTCAACATTATTCTATTATTCTATGTTCATGAAAAAAACATTTCTTCCTTCAATGTAAAATTTTTCTGATCTCTTACACACTGCTGATTGTTTATGTTATTATTCTGGGATTTATGCAGATCCACTAGTTCTTAACAACCAGTGCAAATTTGCATTTCTCTCATATCAAAAGCCAAGTTACACAATTAGTGATATATTAATTCCCACATGTAGGTCCATCTTATAATTATTACAAGTAATTATCTTGGATAGTAGAAAAAAGCATTGCATGAAATAAAGTGTGATTAATATATTTGTGTTTAAATTAAAATATTTGAGAAAAATGCAGACTTAATGAAAGATTCTAGAATCTGTTTTATTACATTATTAGAGCTAACATTGATTTCTCATATAAGGGAGGATGGTAAAATAGGTAGGATTTAAGTATTCAATATAGGATATATAGGTTATGCTCCTGCTGCTAGCAATTATTAATTATACAATTTGAAGGCATGATTTTTCTTCATTTGACAAAAAATATCAGTAACTAGATAATGAAAACATACTAGTACATATTCAAGAGTTTTATGTTTTATTTGCTTAATGTAATTTAATTCTCATAGTAACTATTATATTATCATCCCGATTCTATAAATTCAAGGAGTTATGTAATTTCCCTTCAAGTTATTTTACAGTATTTCTTCAGAGTAGATATTTAATGATGACACTCAAATGATGGGCTCAATTGTATATTTTCACAACTTGTGGAACCAGTTACTCTAAAATAGTGCCTCTCAAAAATGTATGCAACAAGGAAGATATGAACATATGTTTGTTTTCTTATGAAATGCACAATTCATGATATGTGTTAGTTGTCCTTAATAGGCAACTAAGGTCATAATTTCCCCCTTTAGGTGAAGGGAACTTAAAGATAAGTTCACTTTCATAGAAAATTTTCCAAAATGTAATAGATTTAAACATAATTACTTTTTTATCTTATTATTCTGCATATCAGTGCATTTGGGCTAGGCTCAACTGGACAATCTTCTGAACACATAGAAGAACACAAAAGAAGAGCAAGGTAATTTTACTTTGGAATTAGATGACCATTACCTAAGAGTATGAATGAAGTTTTGTTCATACATGGAACATTTAAAAATAATATTTGTTATTATATTAGCTACTAATTTCATTAAAGTCTTGCCTATTGTGTTCTCTGGCATTTTTCTAATATTATTTCTTTTTGTACCAAAGGTGTATATTGTGTGTATGTATGTCTGAGATATACACCTCTTATATATAGCAGTTAAGACTTGATCTCAAGGATAGGGCTGGAGCAATAGCATAGTGGGTAGGGTGTTTGCCTTGCACGTGGCTAACCCGGGTTTGATTTCCAGCATCCCATATGATCCCCATCGAGAACCGAGAACCGCCAGGACTAATTCCTGAGTGCATAAGCCAGGAGTAACCCCTGTGCAACGCCGGATTTGACTCCCTCCCCCCGCACCCCCCCAAAAAAACTTGTTCTCAAGGGTAGAGTTCAAGTGAAAGACTGAAGGCAGAAACCTACACAACTTTTGGAAATCAGGGTTCTGAATTGGTATAATGTCACTACCCTTTTATTCTGTGGACCAAAGCACATTACATAGCTAGCACACATTCAAGTGCAAGAGAAACAGACTTAATAGAAGAATCTGCAGTCACCTTATAGAAGGTCTCACTTATAAGAAGGAATAGAAAGTTACAGCCATTTTGAAATCTAGTGCAGAGAAATTTTATTAATGTTTATGTTGCTTTTGTGAGTAATTTTTCATTATTTTACTAACTTGAAGAGTTCATTTATTTAATTTTTAAACTTTTTCAAGCAACAATTTTTGGCAGTCACAATGTAACTTCATGAGATGAAACCCTATTTCTGGCAGTGATGTAGTGCTGTTTCTATAGCTTTCTATGATGCTAAGTCCGGGATCTAAAGAAGGCAGCTTTTCAAGGGCTTCTCTGTAAGGAGTAATGTCCATATGGCCTTTTAAATCCTTGTTCCACACAGACCAACAAAGGAAACCACAACTGTTATTTCTTACTTAGTTTTCCATTGCTATCATTCAAAGATTTGCTTTCTTTTTACTTTTATCTGTCTTTTACAGCGAGATCAGTGAGTTTGTTAGCTGGAGGTGTTTTAGTTCTCTCCTGTCTTATATAATGAAACCTGGATATTTTTCTTGGGGTCTTATATTGATTTAAAAAAAAAAGACTGCCTTTTATTCATTGCTTCATCATCTCTCTTTTATTCAGGTATGGCTCTTGATTTTTATTTTTCCACATTATCTCCAAACTTACCTGATATAATCTCTGATTATATATCTATTCTGTAATGATTTACATAAAAAGTTCTAATTCTAAAAGTTCGAATTCTAAAAGACAAACCTCTGGTGTGATTATTTCTAGATGACTTGTATAATCTTGGACTTAAATGGATTTATTAGATCATTGTTTTCTTATATCTCCTACATAAGTCTTTTGCATCATTTTGTACCATTCCTTTAGATTTCTCTATAGATTCTTCATGCTACATTAATATTATCGGATGAAAGGATTTTTTATTGAATTCTGCTAGCAGTAAAATATTCTTTCAAGAAATTATGCAGCTTAATATTATGTTCATTTAAATTAAAATATTAAAAGTGGTAATTTATGCAAAACATTTGGCACATGGGAGTACCTCCCACACCCCTAAAAAACTAAAGAGGCTGAAGAGATAGTTTGAGGTTAAGTTGCTTGTCTTGAATGTGTCTGAACCATGCTCTTCCCCAGCACTGCATATTGTCCCCTGAGAACCTCCAGGAGTGATCCTTGAGCATAGAGCAAGGAGGAAGCCCTAAGCACCACCATGTGTTGCCCCCAAGCTCCAAAACTCATAACCAAAGAATTTGGAATAAAGATCTCAGAAGTTATCTATTTTAAATAATTCTGGTATACTTCCTATTTGTAATTTATTTTAAATTCAACTTTATGCTTCTTTTCTCTATTGAATTTACCATTTTACATAAGATAATATTTAGATAATATTAGAATTCATCAACATAAATAATTTGATTATAGTTTTTTTTTGAAATTTGGTACTTAAAAGGTAGTCTATTATTTACAGAATTGCCTTAGTAATTGATAACTGTAAAAACTAGAATTATTACCTTATCTTAATTTTTTTAAATGTAAGTAAATCACATTTATTTTTATAAACCTACATCCATAGGGGTTTTCATTATCACTGCACTAAACTCTCATAGTATAGGTACACTTCCTATATGTTTATGCACACCATATTTGATTGCAATAGTTTCTTAGGTATCTATAATATTGCTGGCTGGAGTGATAGCACAGCGGTAGGGTGAGCGGGTTCGATTTCTCCACCCCTCTTGGAGAGCCCGGCAAGCTACCCAGATTATTTCGCCCACATGGCAAGCCTGGCAAGCTACCCATGACTTATGCCAAACACAGTAACAACTCTCACAATGGAGACGTTACTGGGCCTGCTCCAGCAAAATCAATGAACAATGGGAGGACAGTGCTACAGTGCTGTAATGTTGCAAAATCCTTTCAGGTCTTAGAGACCTAACAGTGTTTCATTTAATGAATTGTTTATATTCAATGTCCCACCTACCTGTCTTTTATATTATATAAACTTTCTTATTTGATAACTGATAATTTCTTATCTTTTCAAAACAATTGTATCAATTTTAATATTCTTTTAAAAAGATAGACTCTCCACCATATGGTATGGTTTTTTTACTTAGTGAACTTCAAATCTATCCAAATGACACATCTTCCTTCTTTCTAGAAGTCACTGTCACTGTCCTTCCGTTGTTCATCAATTTGCTCCAGCAGGCCCCGTAACATTGCGAGACTTGTTACTGTGTTTGGCATATCGAATATGTCATAGGTAGCTTGACAGGCTTTGCCATGCAGGCGAGATACAGTATTTATACCAAAGTAGAAACACAAGCTTCCTTAATGATATATTCTTCCATGAGTTGTTTTCTACTAGGTCTCTACCCCCTAATAGGTAAACTTAGAATGTGACTTTCTAGTGAGGTAGGGTCTTTACCTTTCCTCAGAAATGACTGAGTCAAAATGCAGCCATAGTGTTTTTACACAAGAGGCAAATTTGGGTTCCGAGAGAGAGACATGAGCAAAGGAAAAAATAGGGTAAGAAGATAAGGAGAAGTTCTACAAAATAAGGCGGCCGGGATCAGATCATCCTCAGAGCCTTCAGAAGGAAACAGCCCTCACTCTACCTTACTTTTGAACTTCTAGCTTTTCAGAATTTTAAGATGATACACTTCAGCTGCTAAGACAATCCAGTTTGTGATACCTATGACAGCTCTAGCAAAGGAAAAGACAAGGCATAAGAAATGTTTTAGAAAGGGAGAAACTGACTAATGAGATCATTGCTTTGGTGCTTGGAAAGCAATCGCTCATCTCTCCAGCTTTTGATAAAAAGATGTGATTTTTTTTTTAAACTTGATGGAGCATTAGGTTTCTGGAATAAACTTTTAAAACTTGTTTTTACATAACCAGGATGTGGTGAGTGCAGACCTACATTTGAGGGAAAAAGAGCAAGCCAGAGCCATGTATAAGACAGGAGAAGCAAGACCCACTTGGCACCTGTAAGTCATCCTCCCGCTCCCCTCATTTGTTAGCAAGAGGGGGCGGAGGAGGGGGATTTAGGGCTTAGACCTTAGATTGTCTCACTTGTTGGTAGGGGTGGGGCTGCAGGCAGAGAAAGCCGTGGGGTGGGATGTAAATAAGGCAGCTAGAAGCTCCGTGAGGGTGGGGACAGAGCTCCACGTTAGAAAAATATGTGAACCTGGTTGGTACAACAGAGCTTCCCCAGGACCCACCCACCCACCCACCCTCGCCGGAGCTCTGAGCTAGGCGGCGGCGGCTGGCGGCGTGCGGTGGTGGAGGGACAGCTCCAGCCGAGGCAGCCTGGGGAAGGGGAGAAAGACCATCTTTCGGTTGAAATCGGAGCCGGGCGACTTCACCTTGGGGCCGGGGGAGCTCGGTGGACCTCGCGGGCCAGTTTCGCATCAGCCCCTGCCAGCCCGCCGGCCCCGCTCCCCGCGGGGTCCCCGCGCGCCGGCTGGACCCGCCCCGAGCTCCATGGTTCGCCCAGCCCTGCGCGATGGGGACTCGGGGCGCGGAGGCTGGTGCGGGGCGAGCCCGCCGCGCACGGCATGAAGGCGGGGAGCGCGGCTGGCGGCGGGCGGGGGCTGGCTCCGCGACCCCGGCTCCCCGAGAAGCGGCCCAACCGCCTCAACCCCGAAAACGCCAACAAGTAGTTTCTCGTTGGAGGAGGGCGGATCGCTTGGGTGTCAGCATCCAGCCCGGCTACCCCGACAACCTCGTCCACTCGGAACCTGAGCAAGAACCACTTTTCTCTCGGTCTCGTTAAGGTATCTGGGCTGGGGAGGGCAAAGGGGGGTGACTCCCGAGAAGGGCACTCTGACCCCGCAGGGTGGCATCGCGCCCTCCCCGCCCCAGCCGCGCCCCTCTCCCGCACTCCCTCTCCTTTACTGCATGAGGAATATTAGAGGTGAAGCCCCCGGGGAGAGGTGGCGGGTGACAGCAAGATTTTCCCGGGTGGCAGCTGGGATTTGCAGCTCAGGGACCCAGCGGTGGGGGTGTGCCTCCAGCAGTAACCACCCCTCCACCCCGGCTCGCCCCTCCTAGAAAGCAACCCCCACCCCCCTCCCAAGACGTTTGTTTTTCTTGGAAGGGGGTGGGGTAGGGTGGGATGCTTTGCTCACTTGGAGTCTCGAGGGGGGGAAAAAGATGCTAGTTAGTCGTTTCCTCTCCTAAGTATTAAGAATAATACTATTAACAACAATCACGCGGAAAGGAAATTGGAACAGGAAATTAGTCTGCGGTCTCCTTGGTGAAAGGCAACAGCAGGGACATTTGTGCCTCCCCCCGCCGCCCCCACCCCCACCCCCACCCCCTCCAGACTTCTCCGTTTAGTCTTCTGGTCCGGGTGGCGAGGGAGGGAGAGAGTAGCGGGAACCAGGAACTGGGAGCGCAGAGGGCGCCCCCAGAGTGTCGGGGCGCCCCGGAGCCCAGCGGTCCAGAGTTGACCGAAGGGTGAGGACCTGGGTCGGGAGAGGTGATGTCCACAGCCCAGCCCCGGGGCTCTCACTTGAAGCTGCTGCCAAGTTGGCCAAGCTGAGATAACTCCCAGCTTTAGGGAAGTGCCTAGTTAGGGGCCGGGGAGAGAGGGTCGAGGTGAGTGACAAGAGAGAAGGACCCGGGGACCGGCGGGGAACAGTGCTGGGGAGAAGGGGTGGGGTGGGGTGGGGGCACTGAGGAAGGCGTTTAGGAAGAGGGGTGTAGAGACAGGGGTGGGGCTTTGGGAACTGGTTAGACTGGAGGGCAGAGCACAGAAGGTGCGAGGCCGGGGCAGCTCGGGTCCTGGAGGTCAGGGGAGCCGTGGGCTGCTCGCTCCCGACTTCCCTGCAACCCTGGGGCGGGGGCGACGCTCGGGGTTGGGCCGGGCGGGTAGCTGACCTCGCGTGGCAGTGTAGGGTGGGGGTCGTTGGTTTTCCCCTTGTGGCTCCGCCAGCCTCTGCGGGGGTTGGGAGACTTGCTCTGCGTGTGTGTGTGTGTGTGTGTGTGTGTGTGTGTGTGTGTGTGTGTGTGTGTTGGGGGGTGGGAGGATGGGAGTGTGCGTGTGTGTGTGTGGGGGGGTCACGATGCGCCTTGGCGAGCTCTTTTTAACTCGGTGCTCTGTGTTCGCCTCCTCTCCAGTCATGTCTGAGCCACAGAGATGGGCAAGATCGAGAACAACGAGAGGGTGATCCTCAATGTCGGGGGCACCCGCCACGAGACCTACCGCAGCACCCTCAAGACTCTGCCCGGCACGCGCCTGGCCCTGCTGGCCTCCTCCGAGCCCCAGGGCGACTGCTTGACGGCGGCGGGCGATCGGCTGCACGGGGGGTCACCTCCACCCCTGTCGCCGCCGCCGCCGCCACCCCCGCTGTCCCCCGGCCCGGGCGGCTGCTTCGAGGGCGGCGCAGGGAACTGCAGCCCCCGCGGCGGCGGCGGCGGCGGCGGCGGCGGCAGCGGAGACCCCCTCGGGGGCGGCCGCGAGTTCTTCTTCGACCGGCACCCCGGGGTCTTCGCCTATGTGCTCAACTACTACCGCACGGGCAAGCTGCACTGCCCCGCCGACGTGTGCGGGCCGCTCTTCGAGGAGGAGCTGGCCTTCTGGGGCATCGACGAGACGGACGTGGAGCCGTGCTGCTGGATGACCTACCGGCAGCACCGCGACGCCGAGGAGGCCCTGGACATCTTCGAGACCCCCGACCTCATCGGCGGCGGCGACCCTGGCGACGACGAGGACCTGGCGGCCAAGAGGTTGGGCATCGAGGACGCTGCGGGCCTGGGGGGCCCCGACGGCAAATCCGGCCGCTGGAGGAGGCTGCAGCCCCGCATGTGGGCCCTCTTCGAGGACCCCTATTCGTCCAGAGCCGCCAGGGTAAGGCCAGAACACCCCCATCCCGCTCCCCAACCTTTCTCTTCTGCTCAGACGTCTTCCCCAGCTTTCCCTCCTTTCCCACCAAGGGCCCTGGGGTGGAGGATGGAGAGGATAAAGGGGCTCTTCCAATCTGGTACAAGGGACGTTTCAGCACCCCTTCCCACATCTTCCCTATCCTTCCCTCCCCCACTCCCCCTCGCTGAATTTCCTGGACTCAAACATGTTTCCTTTAGCAGATGGACCAAAGGGGTCCTTAGGGCCTTGTCTTGTCTCTCTGCAAGGCTGTCTGGGAACCCCGGTGCTGCTGAAATCTTGTTTATTTCTCTGCACCGCAACCCAAGCCTTTCCTCAACTTTTCCTTCAGCTCTGATGGCTCTTCAGGGCCTTCTGGCCATCATGACTTGACTTGACATTTTACCAAGGCCTAAACACTTTTACATGGGTGACTCACCCGGATTTTGGCTCCAGTTAGGGATCTAATGGGAGGACAGAGGACAGGAAAATGGACTGATGGCAGTAGGAGGGATGGTGGTGGAAGAGGATGTTGGGGAGCATTTAGCAGGAGAGTCACTTGCTGGGGGATTTTCTCTTCCCAGGAAGATGCACTTGTCCCAGTGCTTCACTAGACCACTGTGGAGTTGTGGAATCCTTCCTTGCTTGGTCCCCTTCTTCCACGTCAGTATCTTACTGGTGAAAGTGAATTGGTCCACTGGTGATACTAGTTTAATCTAATTCTTTAAACTTGGAATAATTTTGATCTTACCAAACTTAACTTTACACTTTTGATGGTGGTTGCTTCTTCAACTTGTCTTTTCATTTTCTGGCTTGAGGGAAAACTTAGATTTAAGCCTTCACACTCTTAATTAATTTTTCAGAATCCCACGAGCTACTATAAAAATAACTGTTATGGTTTCTATAATTTAAAGGAAATAAAACATATATAAATAACTAAAATTTACATGGCATGTGAAGGGGTTTAAAAGATATGTGAAACTGGCGTGCTGTGTGTAATGTAGTAGAACCTTTGAGACTGTGTGTATCTGGATTGCTTCTGACAACCAGAGAAGATCCCACCTGGGAAGAAAATTCCACCTTCACTTGGGCTTCATCCTCATTATGTCTTCCTATGTCTTCCTCAGAGTGTCAGAAGTCTCTGTGTTAGAGATATTGTGCAGCTGTCTATCTACTAACTTGTCAAAACACTTGTTTTGGATAACACTTTACATACTCTGAGAATATGTTTTGATTTCAGTGTGAAATTGAGTATGAAAGACAATTTGAAGTGTTGCTTCTTTATTGGATATACTAGTTATATGAATCTATAAATCCTAGTAGGTCATGTTCTCATATGAATGTAGAGTTAATCACTTCAACACAGAAATATTCCTTTTAATTTCATCCCATAAGTTCAGGAGTTGGTCAGAAGAAAAAGTTTATTTATTTAAATTAAATCAGACTCCAACAAATCTGTGATTTATTTCATTCTCTTCTTTCACTCTTTTATTCACTCATTCATTCACTAATACTTTTTTTCTCTTTTCTTCCTTCCTTACTTTTTCCTTTATTTGATAGATTTAAGCCGAGTTCCACAATGCTTGTTCTACTTGGTGACTAAAAGATGAACTTGAATTTGTTTATAGTCTCATCATGTGATTCCTCCCACCCTCCCAGATCTGATGTTATAAAAAACACAGGACATTTTGTTTTCTTTCCTATTGACTATATAATACATTTTCTTGTAGGCAAAATTGCATAGTAAAAACATTAAGAAAGTGTTTCATTTTTATGCAAATGTATTCAATTATCAGCTAAAGCATATGCCCTGAACTTGAACAAATTATTTTTAAACTATTACTAAAATTTCATTGTAATATAATATTAAGATTTGACCTGCATCCATTTTTGATGAGGAAAGGACATAGATAGATTTGAGATCAACACAAGGTCAAAGAGCAAATAGAAAAAGAATCAGCTGAGAATCCAATCTTAGACCAGGAAATTTCATTGAGGTCATCTCCTGAAAACCTTCTGTTTTGTAAATAAGGGGAAAACAAAACCTCCTACTCCCCCAAAGAAATGAAAAACACAAACAAAAACTAAAAACCCAATGGATTGCAAATGTGAAAAACCCAGTGGATTGCAAATGTCAAGGTCATAATAGCAAATTAGTAGCAGAGCCAAAATGTGCTTGAAGTCTCATGACAAATTTCCAGAGATCCTTCCCACCACAACCACTGATTATAACAATCTCGGGCTTATGATACCTCTGCAGATTATGTGCTCTATGAGATTTAATGCAGCAATCATTGGAATTCTAACTTTGAAAGGTCATGTATAACTTTTTAAATGTACGTAATTCCAGGACTTTGCCTAGAAGGAAGTAGATATTAAAAAATTAACCCTGCTTTACCCAACATTTAAGTAAAAACCTGGATTCAAATCAGCTTCTTAAAACGAACTCTGAACTTTCCATTTTAATTGACCAGTTAATATGTTTTTCTTTCCTTTAAATTAGCTAACGTGTGTAAGACTTCCGGAAATTCTCTTTTCAAATTACTTGGGGAATTTCAGTAATCAGAAATCACCATTCTAATTAAATGTGATTTAATGTTTTTATATGTAAACTTTCAAGTTTAGATGGTGGCTTGATTTAATGTTATATGATTAGTTGATTGATATATGGAATTACACTGGAAGATCTCAGGATGAAGTTATATTTTGCATGGACATCCTTCTAGGTGATAGAAATCAATTTTCAAATGGTTTGCTTCAGCTGTGGTCTAACTGCCACAAGTCTCATTCTTAATAGAACTTAAGAAGTTAACTTTTAAAAAGCACTGTTTTTATTCCACATTAGTTCATCTTTTATTTTTATGCTTGTGCGGAATTACTTTTCCAATTTATTACAACTGCTTCATCATTTTCTTTATTTTCTTCACCAATATTGAGATGCTAGGCTCAATTATTTAATAAATGTATATATTTTTGTTTATTCAGATATGTGTGTACTATTATGTATATTCACATTTGTGATCTAAATTGGTCACAAAAATGATAGGAATTGAATAGTTAGTTGAATAGTTAGCGATATTGTATTTTTTCCTTTTGTGTTGGTTGATGTTTCCCTTCCTATATTACTTTTATTTTTTCAAATTATTTAATTGTTCAAATTAACCTGGCATGTAAGTTTACATTTGACGTTTAATTAATTCTCAACCTTAAGAATAATAGTCAATGGACTGGGAGATAGCTCAAGTGGCATGTGTAAAACTTTGAATTTTACCCTTACAACCAGTCACCACTACTACTACCCCTGCCACCTGGGGACAGAGCATCATAGACTGAACACTGTCAGAAGTAACCTGCTACCTTCATCCCCGCTACATTGCCAGCACCTCTGAATGTGACCCTGTAAAAATTACATATAAAATACAAATTTATAAAAATTATATATAAGACCTGGAAATCTGTAGAAATTAGGATCAGATAGAAAAGAAGAGTTTAGGCCAGAGCAATAGTATAATGAGTTGGGTGTTTGCCTTGCATGTGGCTGATGGCTGACGGCTGACGGCTGACGTGGAGTTCCATACCTGGCACCACCCTGAGACCACCAGGAGTGACCTCTGAGTACAAAGCCCAGAGTAAATCCTGAACCTTATAGGCCTCCAAAACAAAAACAAAACCAGATGGGAGCATTCATTTGATGCGATTGAGTCATATTTACAAATAGTGAAAAAGAAAGGATGCCTAGATGTATTTGTGAAAGTGTTCATTTACAAATTAATATTCAAATTTTAGAAAACAATGAAGGTAATTTTATTCTGAGAATAGTGTATTAAAAGTGAGTTGGCAGGCACCAGGCAGATATACAACTTAAAGATGTTTTAGAAGATAAAAATGTATATTAAAGGAAAATATAAAAAATCAAAACAATTAATTTATTTCCAATTTTGGAGAACTGAGAGCAGTTACACTCTTTTCTCTTTTTCAATTAAAAAAATATTTCTTTTTTTGCTTTTGGGCCTCACTCAACTGTTCTTAGGTCTTACTCCTGTCTCTGTGATCAGCAATCACTCCTGTTGGGTTTGCGGGACCTTACAGGGTGCCAAGGATTGAACCAAAGTCAACAGTGAGTTGGACCATTACCCTTCTCACTGTACTATCTCTCTGGTCCCTTAACTTATTCATTTATTTAATTTTTAAGAGAGAAAAGGTGATTGATTCTGTTTCATACTGTAACATTTGGTAGAATGTGTCTCTATGTTTATCTTTAATAATTGGATACCCCCCCTTTTTTTTTTAGTTAAAATAAAACATTTTGAAAGAAATAAAAAATATCCATAGAACCACATTTTAAATGTTGTCGTTTGGTATAAGGCTAGATCTTTTTTTTTTTATGTTTTCCTGACTTTCTAAAGATGCCATATGTGTAGATCATCCTGAGTCATACATGGATTATGGTGGTTTTGAATATAGCACATTGCTGCATCTTGAAAATATTTACTTTATTAGCCATTTATATATTACTTGGAGAGGGGTTGCTCGCAAGCAGTGATTCTGGGAACCATTCCTGGCTGGGTTGACCCGGTGTGTCAATTTTAGGGCCTAAAGATGCAGTGTCAGCAACTGCCCGGGCTACCACACAGTGCGTGGACCCTCTATGGCTATACTCACCCCATGAGACTCAGGGCTGATTGGCAATCCAGCTGAATCAGGTGGTTTACGTGTACCCATACCTCTGTGCTATCTCCATCTCCCTGATTTCTTTATTAGCAGTTCTCCCCATTTGCTTTTTGGGCTAGACCCAGTGGTGTACAGGGCTTACTCTTGGCTCTGTACTGTGGGATGACTCCTGGTGGTGCTCAGTGGGGGACCATATGGAGTGCCAAGAATCAAAACCCAGGGTAGACTGGTGCAAGGCAAACATCCTAACTGCTAAACTGTAGCATTTTAATTGTTTTATTTTTAAGGTAACACTAAAATGCATTACTAAAACTATT